CTATCAAATCACTATTCATGACCCTTCTATGTCAGCCAAAAAAAAAAAGAAGTTTCTTAGATCCATTTATAAATCGAAATGAGGGCTACAACAAGCATAGGAAAAAAGAAGATAAAAAGAAGATAAAAAGAAGGACATGCAGTCAAAAGGGACATTATAAAACTAGTTGCACTAATTCTCCTGTCATTAACCTACCAAATAACTTGGCATTTTAATATTTAATTGTTCACAATGATACTTACATTAATTGAATGATACATCTTATTTAGAATTAGTTTCATTTATTCATCTGATTCTTGTTTATTTATGCAGGTAGAATTTAAAGTTAATCATCCGACTGCTAGCAGTAAGTCATTCTGAATCTGAAAAACTTAATCTCTAAAAGTAATGTAAAGTTACTCTATGCTTGTGTAGTTAAAATATCTATTCTTGCAAAGTTAAAATGTCTAAAATCTTTTTGCATGAGCAGGTGTTAATCCAAATCTTTTTGCATGAGCATATGTTAGTCCTCTTTGGATGGGCTTTGTTGATACTGATTTCACATAGGCTTCAAACGAGGCAAGATGAGGTAGTCCTTGGGCAAGGCTGTTGAATATCATATCTCCATGATAGTATTTTGATGATAACAATTTATACAATGTGTGTTATACAAATACACTAACTCTTATATGCAGCTTTCAATATCAAAATATGAACAAGTGCAAGTTGAGATGCAAGGCATTATGAAGTGAAGAAGATGAAGAACATATGAGATAATGTATTTTACATTTTCTTTACTTAGAATTATTGTACAAGCCTTGATCACTTACACACACACACATAAATATTAGAACACACTAACACAGGCTTAGTGTGGTTGTTAACTATAGAAATCCCCCATGTTAACCATTAGAGTTATAGTTAAAAATTGGAGTGTCAAAACATTTAATTTATATCATTTTCTAACTTTTAGTAGTCGACTAATTAGAGTAGTAGTCGACTACTCATGTTTATGTCTTAAATATATGTTTCTGTCAATTTACAGTATAGTCGACTAATATGAATAATAGTCGACTACTCAAGTTTATGACAGAAACATAAGTTTCTGTTATTTTACAGTATAGTCGACTAATTGACATTATAGTCGACTACTGAAGCAAAATTCATTTTCTAAGTTTCTGTCAAATTACAGTATAGTCGACTAATGAACTTTATAGTCGACTACTGAGAAATTTTCTGAATACACAGAGTCTGTTTAAACTCATAGTAGTCGACTAATCAGTCTTGTAGTCGACTACACATACAGTTTTTCCAGAATTTAAAGTTTGAATATATGACTATTTATAGCCGTTTTTAAACGTTTTTAAAGTTTAAAAACTTGTCTTTTCAAGGGCTATAAATAGGTTATTTGTTTAGAAAAAATGCAAGTACTTACATACCCATAAACTTTGATCTTTGTGTATTTTTTCAAGTGAAAACTATTCAGATTTTGAGAAAAAGAAAAGTTTCTGAAATTGCCTTTGAACATTATTCAAATACTTATTGTTTATGCAATTTACAGAAGTTAGAATCATTCCTAAGCCACTACTACACTACATTACAAATCAAGGCTTATAGGAATTGAAATTGTTGCTTCAAAAGTTCTCTCGAGTTGTGAGAGGTGTTAATCTCTTGGTTTAGAGATTGGTATGCAAATTGGTAAGGTGTTTGTCAATTGGTGTTGCAATTTGTAGGGACTTATAAATTAGTCAGGTTTGCTTTTGATTTTGTAAGTTTATTCAAAATCATAGTGGAAACTCTCAAGCGGGATTTGCTTCGGGACTGGATGTACACCAGATTGGTGAAACCAGTATAAAACTTTATGTTTGTGATTGTGAATTTCTGAGATTGCCATTTTTCTTTGCAATTTATAATCTAGTTTGCATAAATTTTAAAAGAACACTATTCACCCCTCCCCTCTAGTGTTCTAGTGTATCTATTTCAGATCCCACATTTGGTATCAGAGCAAGGTGAAAGATGGCATCGTCAAATACTTCACAATTCAAAAAAGGTCACTCTACAAATCGTCCACCAATGTTTGATGGATTGAACTACAACTATTGAAAGTACCGAATGAAGATTTACCTTCAATCAATTGGCTACGAACTTTGGAATGTTGTGGAAACAAAATATGAGAAGCCAACAACTCCATTTTCAGAATGGACTACTTCACAAAGAAATAATGCAAATTTAGATTCAAAAGCAATGAATGCATTATTTTGTGCACTTGACAAGAATGAGTTCAATAGGGTGTCAACGACCACATCTGCATATGATATTTGGCATACACTTGAGGTAACTCATGAAGGTACAAATAAAGTTAAAGAATCTAAAATTTCTGTTCTGTGCACAGATTTGAATTGTTCAAGATGAAGGAAAATGAGACTATTGGAGAAATGTTCACAAGATTCACCGACATCACAAATTCTCTCATTGGTCTTGGAAAAACATATACACAAGTGGAGATGATAAGAAAAATACTTCGATCACTTACTCCACAATGGGAAAAGAAAGTTACTGCAATCGAAGAAGCTAATGATTTGTCAACTCTTACGGTTAAAAATCTTATCGGAAATCTAATAGCATATGAAGTTCAAATTGAAGATAGATAGAATGATGAAGAAACAAAGAACAAGAAAGTACTTGCATTCAATACTATTTCCGATAAAGAAGATTCAGATGATGATGATGAAGAAATGGGCATGTTTGCATGAAAATTTTGGAAATTTATAAAACGAGATAATTTTAAATCTAAGAGTTTAATTTCAAATAACCATCTTTGTTTTAAGTGTAATAAACCAGGTCATATGAAGAAAGATTGTCCAATGTTGAAGAATAAGCATAAATCAAGTTATTTCAACAACTTCAACAACATTCAAAATAACAAGAAAAGGAAAACAATGGCAGTCACTTGGGATGATAGTGATGAGTCATCTTCAGATGAAGAAAAGGAAAGTGCTCACATGTGTTTTATGGCACAAGATGAAGTAAGTGACAATGAAGAACTTTTAGATGCTTTCAATGAATTATATGAAACTTTTGTGAGATTAAAGACTTCACATAATTTTCTTAAAGGTAAAAATAAAAGATTACTTGAAGAAATTTCTGATTCCTCTACTAATTCTAATTCTCAAGTAATTGGATTAAAAGAAGAAAATTATTCTTTTCTTAAAGAAAATGAAAGTTTATCTAAAGAAAATATTTATTTAAAATCAGAATGTAATGAGTTAAAAATTTGTATTAATAGTTTAGATAAAGATATTTCTTCTTTTAAATCAAGATATGAAGATATATGTTTAAATGTAAGCAAATTTAATAAAGGAAAAGAAAATCTTAATAATATTCTTTCTTTTCAAAGAGAATCACAAAAGACAAAAGGATTAGGTTTTCAATTTAATAAAAATAAATCAAAGAAAACAATTTGTGTAAAACCTTCTTGTGATTTGTATGAATATAGAAATGAGAATTTGTGTAAAAAGAAATCAAAATTCTTTTCTATTTGGGTTCCAAAAGAATTATCTTCTTTACATAAGAATTTTAATATTTCTGATTTTATTAAAAATATTTGTTTATCAACTAACTATTTAGGCAAATCAAACTCTTCATGGGTTTGGTTTCCTAAAGGCTAATTTAAAGGACCCAACATAGTATGGGTACCAAAAATATAAATGTTTATTATTTCAGGTACCCAAGAAAGATGGGTGGATTTTGGATAGTGATTGCTCCAAACATATGACTAAAAACATACAATTGTTGTCATCTTTTCAAAACAAGGATGGTGGTACCGTTACTTTTGGAGATAACAACAAAGGAAAAGTCATCGGTATTGGATCTGTCGATAATCCAAATAAACCTATCATTGATAATGCTCTATTAGTTGATGGTCTTAAATATAATTTACTTAGTATTAGTCAACTTTGTGATAAAGTTTTTAAAATTGTTTTTGAAAAAGAATCTTTCTTAATTTATGATATTGATTTAATTACTATTATTTTTAAGGGTCATAGAAAAAATAACATATATGTTTTATCTATGAAAAATATTTCAAATGAACATTGTCTTATTACATCATCTAATGATTCTATTTTATGGCATAAACGTTTTGGACATGTTAACTTTAAACACATTTCTAAGATTTCTAAAAATGATTCAGTAAATGGTTTACCTAAGATGTCTTTTAAAAATAAAAATTCAAAATCAAAAATCAACTTCTATTATCTCTATACGTAGTGATCATGGAGGTGAATTTGAAAATGAATTATTTGCAAATTATTGTGATCAACATGGTATATCACACACATTCTCTTTTCCTCGAGCTGCTCCACAAAATGGAGTTGTAGAAAGGAAAAATAGAACCTTACAAGAATGTGCTAGAACCATGTTATGTGATAGTAATTTACCTAAATATTTTTGGGCAGAAGCCGTATCAACAGCATGTTATGTATTAAATAGAGTTTTATTACGACCTATTTTAAAGAAAACATCTTATGAATTATTTTATAACAAAATTCCTAAAGTATCTTACTTTAAAGTTTTTGGTTGTAAATGTTTTATCTTAAATACAAAGGATAACTTAGATAAATTTGATTCAAAATCCGATGAAGGAATTTTTGTTGGATATTCTAATCACAGTAAAGCATATAGAATTTATAACAAAAGAACACAAGTTATTGAAGAATCTTTACATGTTTCTTTTAATGAAAGTTTTTCAAAAATACCTATTATACTAAATAATGATGATGATGTAATTGATACCATACAAGATACTCCTATGATAGATATTACAAAAGATGATAATCTACAAAATGATTTACCTAAAGATTTTGTAGAAGTTAAAAATCATCCACATGATTTAGTTATAGGAAATATATCTGACAAAGTAACTACTAGATCACATTTTAATTTGATTGCTCATAATGCTTTTATTTCAACTATTGAACCTAAAAATATAAAAGAAGCACTTCTTGATGATTCATGGATAATTGCTATGCAAGATGAACTTAATCAATTTGCTAGAAATAATGTTTGGGATCTTATACCTAGACCTCAAAATAAATCCATTATTGGAATAAAATGGATTTTTGGAAACAAATTAGATGAATTTGGTCAAGTTGTTAGAAACAAAGCTAGATTAGTTGCTCAAGGTTATAATCAAGAAAAAAGAATTGATTATGATGAAACTTATGCACATGTTGCTCGTTTAGAATCAATTAGAATTTTACTTGCATTTATATACTTTATGAATTTTAAATTATTTCAAATGGATGTTAAAAGTGCATTTCTAAATGGTTTTATAAAAGAATAAGTTTTTGTAGAACAACCTCCAGGTTTTGAACATGAAAGTTTTCCAAATCATATTTTTAAACTTAAGAAAGCTTTATATGGTCTTAAATAAGCACCTCGTGCATGGTATGATAGATTAAAGAAGTTTCTTTTAACTTCAGGTTTTGAAATTAAAAAAGTTGATTCAACATTATTTATTAAGAAAATAAATAAAGATATTTTACTAATCCAAATATGTGTAGATGATATTATTTTTGGTTCTACTAACAATAATCTTTGTCAAGAGTTTACTAAGACTATGCAGGATGAATTTAAAATGAGTCACATGGGTGAACTGAATTTCTTCCTTTGACTACAAATTAAACAATTAAAAGAAGGAATATTCATCAATCAAAGAAAGTATGCAAAAGATTTACTCAAACGTTTCGGAATGGA